ACTAATTATAATTCTAAATCTTAATATACAGACACCGTAATCTTTTTACTTTCATTATTTACTTAACTACATGTATTTGAGGGGAAATCATTTGATATTCTGGGGCTGGGGCAGGGGCAGGAGGATTTTCGTCTGTTGCTACAAATGATAATTCTTTCCCACGGGAATTTATTTTCACTTTTGTACACAATTATTTCCTGCGTTTTGCGTCGGAGAATATTCAAATCCATCCTGTCGTGAGGAAAGTTATTTATTTTCAGCCCTTACCAGGCCATTATATTCATTTTCAAAATCCTCTAGTTCCCCCTAATTACTTGAAATAATATAATACACAAAACGGTTGCTGTGAGAGCCTTTGAAGACGGATGATAGTATAGGTAAAAAGATGATTTCAAAGCAATCTTTCCCAAAAAAAACATAAACTGCATGATATTTGACAAAGCAATTTAAGGTAAAGGTCCGACAAATGTTCTTTAATATATGATTAAAGCCATTGTGTTCTGGTTTAATGGACAAAAGAGGCGTTATCATACCTTCTAGTTTAAGCACTATTGTTGTAAATGAAATAGAACTTTATCAATTTCGTGCGCCCGAAACGCTTTTCTGGATTTCACCTTCACCAGGAATGCTCAAACTTAAATATTTGAAAGCCACCTCAGACGGATGTTAAAACCTTAAACACATTAAGAGCTATATGACCAAAAGGGACATAAAATAGCCACATTCGTCTTAGGTCAACTTTGCCTGAGGGTGTTGGAACCTTAGTGTCTTAATAATCTCTTAATTTATCAGCAGAGAATTTTAAAAAATATAGTTAGATATTATGTCTGTACCGAAGCACCGACTTCTTAGTTGATGATACCCTTGAGGACTGACAGTCCACCAGCATTGGTATTTACGTAGTGCTAGAAAATAAAAATACCACTATATAAATTGTGTATGTCCGAAGCGCTTTTCTGGATTTACCTTCCGCATCAGGAACGTTTGAGTGCCAAGCATATATAAAACCTAACGACGTGAATTTGTAATTTTGCAAACAATAGGATTAACATATTTAAGTATCTGTTATTACAAAAAAGTATCTTTGAATGCTAATGATAGGATGGATGTTATGTGTTTATTTTTGTTATAAATGTACACATTATTTCAAACTCCAAATCGTCCCGAGCCTTAAAAGTTGGGGATAAACAGAAACTAACAATGGTCTGCCATGTTGACTGCTGTACCCCAATTTTTGACATTTTTACCAATTATGTCTGTTTGTTTTGTTCACACATTGTTGTCAATATAATGGAATTTTATGCGACTGTCATACAAGTTAGGGGTTTAGCTAGCTATAAAACCAGGTTTAAACCACCATTTTCTACATAAGGAAATTCCTGTACCAGGTCAGGAATATGACAGTTGTTTTCTACTCGTTTGCTCAGATGTGTTTGAGCTTTTGATTTTGTCATTTGATAAGGAACTACTTTCCGTTTTGAATTTTCCGTGGAGTTCTGTATTTTTGTTATTTTACTTTTTTCTGCCACGAACAGCAACTTATCCAAATACGAAACATGAACAATTTAAATAGATTTTCTCTGTAGCCCTTTACATTAATAGCATAGCATTAACTCTATCATCATTTATATTTTCGATAAACCATTCACAAACTTCAAAGTATTAATGCTAGACGATCGTTAATTGATTGGTTTTTAAAATTTGCAACGATTCCAAGAATTTCACTGTCATTCAAACTAAATACGAGACGTGAAAGCTAAAAGCAATTACTGCATTTATAGAAAGCCATTGTGAAGAACTATGCAATGCAATCTTTTCATCTTAGAAAACTTAATATTGTCAACGAATAATAAATATTTTCATCCGTTGTATCGATTACAGAGGCTCTAGATGTGTAGTAATTGACCAAGTATTGGGAATCGATGGAAATGGGTAGTGGAAATACGGAAGCTCTGTTGTGTGCTCATGTTTATCCCATTAAACTTTGACTTGAACGATACGGTCCTGTATCAATGCCGTGACCACTGTTTTATTTATGAATAAAACAACTGTTCTTGATTCGATATTTTGTTCAATAAATTCTTTGTTTATTTTCATTCACAATTGTGGTTCTTGCAGTTAATTTTCCAGTATCAATTACATATATATTGACATTTGTGCAGTGTAAATCTTTAACCAAAATAAATTAAAATATTTTCAGTAACTGCTCAGTATCCAGTACTTCGGTACTGGCAAACAAATACGGATATTGTTTAAATGATATAGGCTGTTATATAATTTTGGAACTCATTTAGAATTAAAGAACGTACCTCCCTCTTGCATAACTGTGATTTCTTGCCTAGGTTTGGCTAAAATTTCGGTCTTTTTTAATTTAACAGCTCTTCGACGTTTGCGTTAAGTTTTAGATTTTCAAATATTTCGGCTTCGATCATCACTTAAGAGACGTTAATTGTCGAAATGCGCTTTTGGTGCTATACAAGTGGCACCGTTAATGTTAAATTAGAAGTGAAAAGTCTTGGTTACCTTTTTTTCCAATTTGATTGTAAATTGTTTTGTTTTGGAAAAAACAGCTTCTCAATAAAAAAAATCTTTGTTTTATTGCTTTGTGAAAAGAAAGGCTTTGTGAAAGTGTAATGTGACAATTTCAACGCAATTACATTAAGGGAAACATGAATAGTCATTTTTCTCTCTCAAGCAATATACTCTATTGGTTACTGGTCTTCAAATAATAGTTGCATTCTAGCAACTTAAACCTAAGAGTGTCACACATGTTGTGTTTTCAATTGCGAAAGACTACATTAAAAAAGGGGGATATATAATAGCTTCTTTTTTTTTAATCAGTTGACAAATGTTCTCCTGTTTTTGCTTGTTTAATTTGTTTTACTTTCTTTTTTTTCAAATAACATTTAGTTTTATAGATTTGCAATTTTTAATTTGTACATGTCATTAAACTAAATAATGGCATTTAACAAGCTTAATGGGACATTAACCTAAGCTGATTGAGGGAAGTATCGCAGCACTAGTTAAGTAATTATTCTCCAACTTTAATGAAAACAGGAGTTGTTAAATCGTTGTACACACATCAAACTATGTCAACCACAAAAACAAACAAAAAAACAACAAATAACTCATTAAATAGGATAAAAAAATACAAACAAACAAAATTAATATACAAGCTTGGTAGGATAATTCAATGCTTAATATATTCTAGCAGCAAAACTTTGCCTATTCTTGTCAAGACAATATATCGTAAGAGTAAAAAAAACCAGCAAAAAATACATTGATTTGAACATATCGTAATGTGTGGGGCACATTATAAGGAAACACACTGATGGGCCAGGAAATTAGTAAATTTATACACGTTTCCAAGAAGCACAGTTAGCAATACATGATCTATTCCGCCTTGAGGTCCTCAAGGAATTATGGTAAATTGTATATCCCGTATGATATATCAATTTTTTTCACACTTTTAAGACTAGCTGGTGACGAATTCTATAATTGGATTATTAATCTCTTCAATCATGGTCAATGGAATGTTCAGTTCATAAAACCAACAGGAAACGTGTGCAAGTCTGCAAGGCTTCTTGAACTTATCATGTAAGTCTAACATGCTAGATATACATCACTGTGTGTCATGAGTTTATATTTCTATGCATTAAGTCGATGGCTTTTATGACGTTATTACAATTTCATACACGAAAGGCTGGTATCTTTTACAATTACCGGATTTGTAATAACATGAGCAACACGACGGGTGCCACATGTGGAGCAGAATCTACTTATACCCTTCCGGAGCACCTGAGATCACCCCCAGTTTTTGGTGGGGTTCGTGTTGCTTAGTCTTTAGTTTTCTATGCTGTGTCTTGTGTACTATTATTTGTCTGTTTGTCTTTTTATTTTCTAGCCATGGCGTTGTCAGTTTATTTTCGATCTATGAGTTTGACTGTCCCTCTGGTATCTTTCGCCCCTTTTTTACAAATAATTCTAGATATCTGAAAATTCATATGAACTTTAAGAAGATGTAGAGTAGACTGTAATGAGACAATGTCAAGGACGAACACCAAAAAGAGTTCTATAAGTCAGGATACGCTCCTCAACGCCTGACTCAGCCAAGTTTAGAACATATGTTATGATCCAAAATAATGCTATAAAGAATAACAACCTGAACAGTTAGGTTATATGGTTATTATAAAGAAGAAAAATGATTGCTTATAAGATGTTTGACTGGTTTTCTGCGAGCCTAACCAATACTTTCTTAAAATTTTCATAGAAATGTGTGTTGTTTTGTTTAAACTGGTATGTTAATGTGAGTTTAACTTAACATTTTAAAATATTGTTTGTACTATATTAATTATATTTCGTATTTTTGAAGTCATTAAAACAATCTTTTTTAAACTATGAGATGATTTTTAGCCGATGTTGAATAATGCGTATGAGTGTAGACGTGGTGTTAAACTGGGCGAAATTATTTTGGTCAATTATTTCAATAGTAAATAATTTTATTCATTCCATTATTTTAACCAAACTATTTAAATGTATATACAAGGAAGAACCAAAATCATCAGTAGCCTAAGTTCCTAAAATTTCGTCTGACCCACTGAACATTTTCAATACACAGAACCCTCATATCTGAATCTCTTATTCTTAAAGTTCAATCTGAGTTCAATTTTTATGCATTTATATCTATTTATATCAAATTTATCTTTTTATAGTATTGGCATTTTTTTTTTTAATAAATGCCGAGTGAAGCAATCTTTTTCTACTGATCAATATTGTTGATAAATCGAGACAGTGATAATTGATGAAAAACAATTAAACTATAGACTCGTAAAAGTGTAAATCTATATATAAAGAAAATGCAACAAACTGTCACAGTGACATCACACACATAGAATGGTGAATGCCAAACAAATAAAAGTTACCACACTTCGATGTCCTCTAAGTTACAATTGGATATCCTTTAGTTTTTCCCTATAAATATGTACCATTTGGCTTTGAGCGTTTGAACGTTGCGGAAGTAAGTCCAATTAGCACGGAACATAACACAGGACTACAGCTGTAATTATTTGCATTAAACTAAAGTAACGATTTGCTGTTAGATCGAATGTTTTTATTTGCGATATGGCAGAGAAAGTCAAGTAAAATAACTATATGGATGAAATTATATGTTGACTTCAGGATACGAGAACATACCGGTAGGTGTCATTTATTTGTTTAATTTATTTATAATCATTTATTTGTTGTTTTTGTTTATTAAATAGTTGCCATGGCGTTGTCAGTTTATGTTCGAATTAAGAGTTTGAATGTCTCTCTTTAATTTGGTATCTTTTGCTTCTCTTTTATCTATCTATGCCATACAACATCTTCTATTCCATTTATTTGTATCACTGTTCGATTGATTGGTGGTTGGTTAACGTCCAGAGGCTAAATCCGTATTAACAAGAATTACCACACGTCGAGCATGCTTTCGATTTACACTCTCTGAATTGTTGCTACAGTTTAAGTTGAATATGTACATTTGCTGCTCACCCTTCCTGGGCACAACACTTGTTTTTGGCGGGCTTCGTGTTCCACACTCCTTAGTAGAGTAGTTACAGTGTTTTGTGTACAGTTTGGCATTTCATAGGTTTTTTGCCATTATAGTTTTTTTGTCTGTTTTATTGGATTATGATTGTCGCCTTGGTTTCTTCTGCCTCTTTTTTAAAAGTAGGTCACAGCTCATTAATTTTTGAAAACATTATAGGAAATTGCTTAGCATATTTTACAAAATAAAGTAAGTAAGTAAAACTTTTTATTGACAAACAAATTAAACATAAGCTTTAATGAGCTTTTCACCGAATATATAAAAACATATACAATAACAAATAGAACAAGGCATGCAGCATGCAAATAAATAGTAATAAAATAGCACCACATTAACTCTAGCATATATATATATATGTATATTCCTAACACTAAATCATATATACGAAGCACTAAGACATGCCATAAAAAAGGAATAATTTTTAAAATTTGCAGCTAAAAATTTTCAGTGAATAATATTAAAGTAAAAAATAGTTGTACAGTTTAACTAACATGAATGTGAATTAAATATAAAAAGACTAAAACATATGCAAAAAATCGTGTGGTTGGGTTTTTCGTGTACAGCAATGTATTTCATAAACTTTAACACTTAAATAGGTTATTTAAACATGTTAAATGTGCTGTCTTCTCATCTCCTTTCATTTATATTTGTATAATTATTTTATTAGTAAATGGATCGTTGACACCCGGCGACAAATACTATATAATGTAGTTTTTAATCAACTTTGCTATGTACTATATACCAGTACCAGAAGCAAATTATTCTGACTCCAAGGTGATCCATCATTGTTCTTGCTCGTTAGCGGGGGGTCTTTAACTAGGAAACCAGCAAATACTCATTTTAAAGTTTTAGGTTTTCTCATGTTTTAGATTGAACCAACCCTTTCTGCCTCCGACACCAGGGACATATACCTTCTTTCATATTTCTGTGATATAGATTTTTAAAGTTTGTTTTCCTGTATATATTTTAATGGTTTCGCAGTAGTGTACTGTGGCCCGAATGCGGGTTGTCGTGGGTTCGATCCCCGAATGGACGGAATCAAATACTTTTAAATAGTTATTTGCTTTTTTATCCGCCAAGCACATGGGACGTCCTGGTTTTGCTCGCCAGCTAGGTCAAATCAACGACGTTAAACGTATATTTTACTTATTCTCCCTTCTAGAAGGCGGGAATTCGTGGGTTTGAACTATGACTGGATCAAATATAAGACTTTAAGATAGTAGCATGTAATTGTTGAATCCCAGCCAAGCCCGAGGCATTTAGGAGTAAGATCATACCCACTGTACAGTCGGAAACTGAATCAGAATAATTAACGAGTCAGAATAGGCTAATATGTGTTCCTGGGGGATTGTTACCTTATTAGCTAGTCCGCGTTATATCCAAATAAACCTGTCGTTCTAGTACAACTCTAGGCTGATATGCATAAAACCACTTAAGTTAAGATATCCAATCGTAGTACTAATTTATCGTAGGACATGTAGAAAAATCCGTCCGTTCGGAATAAATCTTAACTTAAGTAGTTTTATGCATATCAGCCCAGGGTTTATTCTAATTTCATTAACTGGGTACAGTGTAATGTGATTAATGTGAGCATCAATTAAAGAGGGTCTGGATGGGATTTACAGAATAGAGAATAATGGGCAAAATCTACAGAAAAACGGGTCCCAAAATAAAGAATAGAGAAAAACAAGAATATTGAGTGCTAAAATATGAAGAATAGAGAATAATGGGCAACAAATATTAAGAATAAAATAGAAAAATGACATAAAAAATTAAAGAATACAGATATGAAGGACCCCCAATCCAGACCCTGATTAATCAATCTTTATTTAACGTGTTCTACTTGTTCATACTTCTATCTACACTCATTAAGAAAGACACATGTAAACTTTTATATGTTATCTTTAGATAGTATACTTTTGGTATTTTATTTGTTGACTATAGTAAGCAATATGTTAAGATTCTGCTACCACTATCATTTGTTAATAATGACTCTTGTTTGACTTTAAATTTTAATTCATATATATCGGATTATAAGGATGACAGTTCTTGTTTTAATGACTTTTCTTTCTTTCTCGCACTCATTAGATATTGTGCAACGGTTAAGAAAAATTCGGATTAAAAACGAATCATTACAACGATATGTTATTAATATCTCGATATTTTCAACAAAATTACATCGCATTACCGTGACGCAAATTTCAGCAGTTTATATTGCCTGTTTTTCCATGAGGCAGAGACTACGTTTTTATGGGAATTAGGTTAGAGCATCATTGTGACTATAATTTTAAGGGAGTTTTTGTCAGATTTGGTCTCAACATTTTGCTGCTTGAATTCACAAGTCAGTACATGTAAGTATGACTTAACTCAAACAGGAGATAATGTTTCATAATATATAATTTAAGACAAAATAGTACACATTTATCCTCTGTCTAAATATTTGTGTTGCTAGTACTATAGTACACAACTTTTTATTGAATAAACTAATTATATATATATATAACTTTATTTCCTATTTGATAGAGATTTGGTGTGCAAGCAATATATAAAACAAAAACAAAAAACAAAAAAATGTAAGTAACTCTTTCAAGTTAAAGAAGAGAAAACGTGATCACTGTCTATAATGGCGATTACGGAAACATAAACTATCGATTGTCAAAACCTCTGCAGATGACGAACACAAATCTTGGAGACAAACGTCAACTCGTCATTTCTAATTCAAGTATTGCATGAAAGAATTGTCGTTGTGAATTCATGTGCAGAGAGACTGTCCATAAGGACACTGAACTCAATTTGATTAACGTTAATTAAGTCGTGCTATAGATCAAATCGTTTGTCTTGTATAAAATTACAGGATACCAGTATATGTTCAACAATATTTAAAATGCACTTGTCGCATTTGTCACAAATTAAATGTTCATCTTCATAACGTACTATAGAACATAAGTCAATAACATATTTGGCAGAGACACGAAATTCAGGAAACTGTTTTGTAATTGTCCATGCTTTCTGTGGTGTAATTGCGGGATGAATATGTCTAAACATATAAAATTAGTTATCGCCTAAAAATAAAGAACAAAGAAAAATAGGCAAAAAATAAAGAATACAGAATAATTGGGTGCCAGAATATAAAAAATAGAGAATAATGGGAAAATAGATAAAGAAAGAGAAAATTGGCCTAAACAATTAGAGAAGAAAGGAATGATGGACTCCCAATCCAGACCCTCATTGCGAACCTGATGTCATTGACTTGTTTTGAAAATCATTTCGATGGTACACATTGTCATTATTCATTTTATTTTGTTTCTATTCTGTAAAAACTCATCAACGATACCAGGGTCATAATTTGGTACGCCAGACGCGGGTGTCGCCTACTGTACATAAGACTCGTCCGTGGTAATCAAAACATTTGGATGACGAAATCATATGCGCAGGTTTCGGCGTTTTGCATTTGCGCCAATCTGCATTTCACCTGCGCCGATTTTTTCTTTCACTTGCGCCGATTATTTCTTTCAATTGCGCCGATTGTTTTACAGGTAAATTACAGGTGAAAACTATTTTTATTTATCATTATAAACCTCTTCCGCTAGCCAGTTATACATATGTTATGAATTATCAATTAAAACATGCATATAAATGTTGACCCCTGCCCACAATAGGGAGGTGGAAGTAGGATTTCGAGCAAAACAAGTCACTTTTAAGGTTAAAATTAAAACACTCTGTTTACATCCACTAAATAACTGAGTATAGCAATAACATATCAAATGATATACTAATCTATTTACAGCCTTTAAAATATCAAAGGACAATAAAACTTCTTTACGCCATGAAAAAAGCACAGCACCAAAATGCAAAAAGGAGCAAATGGAACTTGAAATTATTGAATCAGCGCAAATGAAACAACCAAATCGGCACAAATGAAAGATTGAGAATTTATAAAATCGGCGCAAATGTCATACGCCCGAAGGTTTGGTTTGACCGATCTTCAGCATTGTATTAGGTTTTGAATTCTCAAATATTTTAGCCTCGAGCATCACTGAAGAGACATTAATTGTCGAAATGAGCATCTGGTGTACTAACTTTTGTACCATTTATGTTATTGACGAGCATTAAAAACCAAAAATTCCAAAAAGTTTTTCCAATTACTGCCAAGGGAATCTATGCTGGAGTAGAAAAACAATAATTTAACCTTTATCAAGATTTAACTACGTTTTACATGCTCAAAACCGCCCGTTTTGTAATTTTCATGTGTCATTCGCATTGCAATTTGTCTGTGTAAAAATCCTTATGCAGTTTCGGTAAAAAAATGGTGCCAACTAAGAATAATTTAGCTAAACCTTTGAAGTCCTTTTGGTCAAATAGCTCCTAACCTTTTCAAGTAATGATTCTTTATTAGCTTATAAATGTTGGGGTTTAAGCGTTCCAGTGAAGGTAAGTACAGAGAAGCGCTCTGGAAGCGGAAATTATAAAGTTCTATTTTTCTATTATACATTTTAGGAAAAAACATTTTTGCGCCGTTAATTGCCGTATAAGGTAAATTCATTTTGGTAAAATAAAATATATATTTATATGAATAGGATTAAGTATTTTGTCCTGAAACCCATGTGATAT